GCATCTTAAAACACAACCAGAAGGTTCTGGTTCTCCTCTGAAACTGGAAGGCCCATCAGCAGCTCCTAGAACTCTATCATCCAAAAAGAAAAGGAAAATGGTATTTTGGAGGTGAAACAGAAAAAACTCACAAAGAACACTCAGACTGACTTCTCCCTATTTATGAGCCAGGAAAATAAACAAGTTATTGCAAATTAATTCATTCATAAAAACTGAGAAAGTAAAAGTTCATTAAGTACCAAGCTTTTGCCTCTCACATGATCCTAGATGGGACCCCAAATTGGTCAGGTACTGATCCAAGCACTGCTGATTAAACGCAACTGAAGTTGTCGCTAGTCCATTCAAGAAAACAGATGTCGCTTCACAGAGCTTTGATATTTTTCTTAAATACCTTTCAAAATGAGGAACAAAAAATATGAACTCTTATAAAAAGGGCTTTATTGTATTTTTATGGCATATTACATACCTTGTAACAATCATTCTGTTAAGTGTGAATGTCAGTTTTATTTTCTGTCCCTTTTTTCCTGGCTATTTACAAGCTTTGTAAGAATCGTTCCTTAATTAAGTCTAAACATAGTTTTATATAAATGGATTCCTGGAATTAAAAACGTTCAGACTTAAGAAATGATTGTTACAGAGACTGTAACAGGCCGTAAAAAAGAATGCCACTTTAAACAAAGATTTCTCATTTTAATTAAAAAGATAATCATCAGAACATTCGTATACTTAACAGAACCATTTGAAGCTACTTTGAAAAAATATCTACTATTCTATGCAGGCTTATGTAGTTTACTTTATATGACATTTAATCAAAGTCTCAGTTGAGCCTATCACACTCRTACTTTAAATACTGTATCTACAGTTTCAAACACTTATTCAAACATGAAAGTTACTTATTGAACATCCCGATTCCTTGTTCTTTTTGTAAATGACTATGACTGTGGAAATCCCATATTCCTCTAAGCAAAAAAGCAGAACTCTGTAAGGGAAGGGGTTTTGGGTGGGACTTCTGTGTACATTTKTCCAGGCTAATGGGCACGTTCACCTCCCTCTTTAGCTTGTGCATCAGGCTCTTATATAGTGTACTTTATAAAGAGTGTAGTTTCATCAGTAGTACTGTACAAGAAAGAAGCTGAAGTGAACTAAGAAAGGTTCCACTCTGGTAAAATCCTTGCTGTAGCTGCAGAACACTGGACTATATAATTTAAAAGACTGTACTTTAAATCTATGAAACATCTTCCATTCATTCATTCATTCAAAAAAAAAGAAAAAAAAGAAAAAAAAACAAAACAAAAAAACCAACAAAACTTTTGAAAGATGATGTGCAGAACACATGATACACTCATTCACCAGCAAAAACAATCTTCCCTGGTGAGCAGTTGCTCAATATTGTATAGTGTTAATACACAGCAATTTAATACCAGGAATAAATTAGGTCTTAGATATAGAGGTAAATTGAGCAAGCAAATGAAATTAAATAATTTACTTAAACCTTAAAGTATTAGATTATACATATTGTACCTGACCACAGATAACCAGGAAACTGGTAGCAGATATAAGTTAAATGCAAATACTGCTTCACTGGCAAGTAATCAAGCCAGTATCAGACAGTGAAAAGGCAGCTGCCTTCTACTCCCATCAAAAAGTTGCACAGACATAGGCACACAGAAAAAGAAGAGAGTATTCAAAGCATCAAATAGAGATGCTTTAAAGCAAAATAATTTCAGTCATAATATTAGCACTGGATGGAGTTTCCCCATGACATTTTTCTGTTAAGAGTTGATTATTAAAATTAAAATCAGATCACCTGGTCCATCTTGCCTGATACCTTGTGACTCAGGAGAGCTGCTCTAAGTCAATGTCAAAAATTAAGTACTGACATTTTAAGTGGAAAATGTACTATTTTCTAGAGAAGCACAAACATACTACCACCTAGAGGGTTGCTTTTCAATATGAAACGAAACCTACCCCAAATACATATCAAAACCAAAGCTGTCTTTCCTGCTTTTGATAATAGGCCTCATACCTCCAAAATACATTTGAATATTTACCTACAATGCTCCTTGGGAAGCTCTCAGGGAAAATCAGTAACTAACAGCAAAACCCACCTCAAGCCAAACTGTGAGCCACCTAATAAGGAAGATGCAAATRAAGCATATCACACACTCGGATGGACAAGGCAATCCACTGTGAATGATTCAGCATTAGCTGAGAGGATGCACAGGCTGATCTGCTACCTCTGTGTGGATAACTGTACCAGTGCCATTACTGCAGTGCCTGAGAACTGTCTTGAGTGTTACAAGGTAAAGACATTTCCTAGGAGGGCCAAGATGATATTGCAACTGATATTTTATGTATCCTGATGTATTTACCGGTGCCACCCTTCCAGGAATACCAGAAGACCCCACCAAGTCTGACAAACGCTTTACTTCATCAGAAGAATTGAAGAGCCACGCTCTGGACCAACGGGTGCTAAAGCAAAAGCCTGAGACATGTTTAACWAAAGCTTTGCTTACTCTATTCTCAACCTGTAAGCAAAAACACCCTAAGAAGTTCAGAGCAGACAGAGGGAAACCACATCTTTCACTGCACATTTTACAAGYATTTTGCATACAAGAGGTATTTCAATAAAACATTAAAGAATGTAGGTTGGCTTTTAGCTTTCAGTGCAGCCTGGTCTTGATAATTCCTCCCTTTATCTGGTGCTCTTAACAGAGGCATCTCCCAGAAGAGCAGCTTCCTCTCATGCCCAGGCCTCTCCCCAGTGTCAGGGAGCTCTATTGCTCAAATGGAACACTGCTAGCTGCATCATGGACAGGGATCCCCTCGGCCTCCAGAACTCCAGGCCAAATCTTACAGACTACCTCAAATCGCCTGGACTAAGCACTTGAACGAGAATCTTAGTACAGGGGGAGAAAAAAAGTATGAGATGTCACTGTAACACGTTCACAATGCTGTCTGGCAGCAGACAAGAATGTTTCAGCAGAAACTTTTCAGGATGTGAAACTCACTATCWAGAGGCAGGTTGTAATTACCAAGCTTGGCCAAATAAAAGTGCAGTGCAGGATCTGGGACACTCCTTTGGCCAATCCCACACCAAAGRGGGCCATTCATTATTACTAATTGCTACCTTGCTTATTTAGGTGTCCATAGTATCTTTCCACTTCACCGAGCTGAGACTATAAATCTGACAAACTTGGAGATTACTAGCAAAAAGGTCAAAAAGTCTCAAGAAAGAAACAAGTTCTTCCAGATTAAAAAATCAAAGCCAAACAAGTGTTTCAAAGCTCAATTAAAAACTAAARTTTGCAAGTAGTGTTTCCTCAATTTAATTTTGGGCATATGTTCTGAAGATTTAATAGAATTCCTTCATCCTGATGAGTTCAAATTTAATTCTGTGCYACTAGAAGMCACTAATCCAAAMCAAACTTTTAGCAAGTGTTGCCAGTCATTTGAATTATATCCTTAGATTAAAAAAAACAGTTTGGGGCACATGAAATGCACATTCAATTTAGCTGGCAACAGTTTGTTTTCATTTCTAAATTTTACATTTCTAGCCAAAGCACTTGGAAATACCAAGAAATGAAGAAAAAGAGAATGAAGCTACAGCTTAAGTGCACAATGTGTCAAATCTATGGAAATTAACCGTATTCGAACAGCATCGTGGATGCATATGCTGTTTTCCATACCAAAGGCCAACTCACAAACCCAAACAATGTACGTGCTCTCCGCAGTCACTACCACTGTTACACTGCTGCACCAGCAGGTGAAACACTCAAGTGCCAGTATTTAGAGATCTCACAGTAGAATRGGAGGAAAAACAAAATTACAGAGAGGTGGTGGGCAGTACAGAAGGATAGTCTAAGGTGCACAAAAAAAAAAAAAGAAAAAAGGAAAAAAAAAAAAAAAAAAAAAAAAAAAAAAAAAAAAAAAAAAAAAAAAAAAAAAAAAAAGAGGAGAAACCCCAAGAATTACATGCGCAAAACCTGCCGGTGGCTGTGGGCCGCTCTGCCAGAACCTGCCTCACCCCAGTTTAACTTCTCCCGCTCCCAGGTGGCATCCGCAGCCCCCTCCCCCTCCTCCCAATGATCCCTCCTGCCGGATCTGGGGACTCCGCTCACTGCCCTCCCCGCAGGCAGGGCTCCCCCTCCCCGGGCCCCGCTCACCACCATCCCCCGCCCGCCAGCCCAGCGCCCCCCGGCCCAGCCCTGCTCCGAGGCCCGGCTCCCCTTCCCCATTGCCCCCCGCTCCCTCTCGCCCCCCTACAGACACAGGTGCCCACCCTCCCCCGCCGCCGCCGCCAACCCCCGCGGCCCCTCACCATGAACTTGAGCGCCTTCTCCTGCAGGACGGCCTCGGCCGGGTCCATCGTCCTGAAGGGCCGGGCCGGGGCCGTCCCCCCGTTCAGTGAAGGCCGCAGCCAGCACAGACGGGAACCTGCGCTGCCCCGCGCCCCCCCACCTCGCCGCGCTGCCCGTACGGCGCAGGCGCCGCCGCGCAGGCCCACGGGAAATGGAGTCCCCGGCTGCGTCCCTGGCAAGGGCCCGACTTGCCTAGCGGAACTACAAATCCCGGCAAGCCTCGGAGCTATGGGCATGCTGGGAGCCGGTTGGTGCATGCGCTGTCCGCCGTGGAGGGGGCCGACGGGAGTTGTAGTAGTGTGGGGCCGTGACGGTGCGCGGTGCGGGCGGGGATGGGATGGACACGGCCGCGCTGGGCGGGCGAGAGAGCGAGATGGGGAAGTGCGTCCTGCAGGTGCCGTATTGGCAGTTTCCAGCTCCAAACCTTCCCAGGCATGGAAGATACGGCTGGCTCCTGAGTCACAGCCCCGCTCTTTCAAATGCCTCCCCCCAAGAGGGCTCGGCTGCTCCCACGCTCTGCTCGGTTGCGACACTGTCGGTACTCGAGTCGATTGTTGCTGATAAACCTTCTAAACTGAGCCCCGTGCACTGGCGCACCGTTCCGTTACAGGGTACCAAAAATGTCTGGTAACTTCGAAGTCACCAGTCCGAAGTTCCACAGSTCATGTGAAATAGGAAAATTTGCATTGCTGAAATGAATCGGSTAGGCTGACATCATTGTCGAGAGATGTTTGTTCAAAGCCATGCTGTACATAAACAGCCTTCCGTGGTGCTTTGGTGCCCTTTTTCTAACAATGTTTCTAGATCAATTTTCCCTGAAAATTGGACTAAGTTTTATTTGCTTACTAAGCAGAAAAAAAAAAAAAAAAAAAAAAAAAAAAAAAAAAAAAAAAAAAAAAAAAAAAAAAAAAAAAAAGATCAGCATCCGTTGACTAGCAGCTGCACATAGACGGGAGAATATTTTCTATATCCCCTCTGTTCCTCTTTTGCACACCCTACAAGACCAGCTTACATGGCAGCCATTGCTTCTAATCCTCTTGTTTAATCCTTTGTCTCATCTCTTTCTAGTTTTCTTATATTTTTCACATTTGCCCAAAACCTGAGGCTGCCTTGTATGGATCAATAGAGAGGAATCACTTCCTCTGGTTTTAATACCAACCATAAGACCCTGGTAAGTTTTTACTTCTCTACAGCAAACACAACTCTGATTTCTAGCCAGCTTGTCATCTAGTAAAACATTCAGGTTCTTTTCCTTGCTGCATTTATATATTTGGCTCTGCATTTTAAGTGAGATACCCTGAATTTCTTCCTATTCAAATGCAAAGAAGCCAGCCACAAACATCAGCACTTGCTTGTCCAAATGCAGCTCAAACCCATTCTTTTCATTCCTGTGTTTGATGAAGGAACGAAAGTGAAGCTTCAAGCAGGTACAAAACCAGCATCTCTAAACAGCCCATCTCCTCCAGATTTTAAGACAACATGATCAGAGAGAAAACAGAGGATGCAGATAATGTGCCCATTACTGGATTCCTCCCAGAGACATGTGTCCTACATGGTGCCCCATGGTCAGTAGTGTGTCCTGCAGCCAGTGACCTGCAGAGGTGACAGGGAATGYCAGCCTTTGCAGGGTGTGATGCTGGCATGATCTACACTCCCAGAACAATGGCCTGAGATAAGGAGGTAGAGATAATCTAATGTTCTCCCTCTACAATCCCAGTGCATAGAAATCTTCCAAATAAAGCTTCCATGTCACCAGGACAAGAGGCTGCCATTCTTGGACTTGCCCAGCCATACTCTTGGCTGTCATACTTTATGCTCAGACTCTTAGCACTGAAATGCCTGAAATGCTTGACTCTGGTGGGGCTGAGCACTTTCCAGACTGCTGACAGCACTGAAAACACTCACCACGATTATATAAATAACAGTAATTATAATGAGGGGATCCTATAATTACAAAGGGAGGGCTCCTGTAACAGTACTGCAGGCAACCAAGGGMTGCCAGTGCTTGAGGCATGGCTCTCCTGTGTCTCCTCCCTCCAGGCATCCTGCAGCTGGCTTGGGATGTAAATGGATCCTCTTGGTAGCAGTGTGGCAGGCTCAGGGCTTTGATTGCATGGTTTATTTGTCAATAATATCAGATGCTGGCCTAATTGCAGGAAAATTGGAAAGTGTAATGCTTCAGCACTAGACACCAGTGTCCCAAAGCCCTCCAGGCTGATTGATCTGTCTGGACTGTAACTTATAGGGGATTAATGTCCCTGAACTATGTGAAGCCAAAAYTAATGAGTGTTTAGGTGCTCGACTTAAACTGGGTGTTTGAGGATCGTGGTTTGGTTATTCTGCCAAACTGCCACCAGGACCCCACAATGCAGAACCACTGCAGAGGGATAGGRCAAGAGCCTTCACCGCAGCACAGAGTGACTGAGGAAGGACTCGGAGAAGCAGCGCTTGGCCCAGCATCACTGATCATGGAGTGACACCTTGCCACGTGAACCTCACCTGGATCTCTGTATCTGCAGCCCAGCCTCGTGGCCCCTTCCCACTGTGGGATGCTCCYTGCAGCTGGATGGCCAGCTCTGTACCTGCCAGCTTCCTATGTGCTCCGTGGCCAGAGGAGAGAATTGTCATCACACCATCCAGGTGTCATATCACACAGCGGGCAAAGAGACACTGGAGAGATCTGTAGTGCATCAGGCAGGGAGAAGGCACACTTGGAGTTTAGCAGCTTTGCAACCAACCAACCAACCAACCAACCAACCAACCAACCAACCAACCAACCAACCAACCTAACAGTTATTTGTGTGGATTGCAGGAGCTGGACATGTGTAGTCAGTGCTGTCTCTGCCACAGCAGAGCTGCTCTGACCAGCTACTCTTAACTTTTCCTTGAAACAGCAACCATACCCCCCCCTCCCTGCCCTCCACCCCCTCACTGCAGAGCACGTTGCATGAAATGAGCCATACAGTGCTCGGGGACCTCACCATCCTTCCAGATGAAGGATGCTACCTAACGCTAAAGATATTACTGTGATTATTTTTGCAATAGCATATTGCTCTGTGCATTCTGGACTCTGYGGACCACATCCACGCCTGGTGTAACGCCATGTTAATTTGCTGTGGCAGTCATTAATTGGGTAAGGAACAGCTGGTGCTTTGCTTCAAGTGAAGCTGATTGGGTCAGTAAGTAACTGGTTAAGCAGTGTACAGCAGGTACAGCCCTACCTTTCTCTGCACTCCAGAGGGGTGTCACTTCTTGTCCTGGTGACCCTCGGTGGAAGCAGCAAGATTTAGCCATGAAACATTAGGGAACTTCAATCAGTGCAGTTCCTTTGGGCATTATTGCCTGAATTTTAATATTTTGTATAATAAAGGATGATTTTAAATTAAATTTGTGGAGTCACCATCTGTGTATGCTTGGCCTTGTTTTCCTCTACTTTGGCAGTGCCTTGACTTCATTCTTTCCAAGTTGGAGCAAAAAGGAAGGGAAGTGAAAGAAGGAAGTTCACTGATGGAAGAATCTTTTGTTATTCCCTTTGTCCTGCAAGAACTTGGCGGCAGCAGTGGCAGCAGCTGTTACTGGGGGTGTGTTTCACAGTGGTGAGCACACAGGCAATGTCTGACAGCATAAGAGCTTGTGAGAAGGTGACAGGGACGCCTGTGCCCAGAAACRTCCCAGTGGTTCAGCTCAGCCTCTCCAGCCCAGCTCATCCGTGATGGTGGCATGTTTCACACAGGGCTCTGGTATCTCAGCTAAAGGGGATTGGTGTGCAGTGGCCTGGGGAAACTGAGGGCAGAATGGCTCCCTGCRGCCTGCGGGCAAAGGGGCTTTTTTAGGACAAAGGGACGCTCAGTCATGCAAGAGCAAAGGGAAAGAGTCCAAGACCACACAGTATGAATTATGTTCACTGAGCAGGACAATACTCATTACCTGGTGTGAGGAGATGTGCRAGGCTGCACGTATGGAGGGGATGACCAGAGAGAAGGGCTTGTCTGCAGAGAAACCACAACAGTGTAGGCTGTAGATTAACACTACAGGTTGAGCTGATGCTATCCCTTGTGCTGCTGGAAAGGTGAGCTGCATTCTCTCTCCTGTCTCTGACAGCCACGTGTTTCCTCCTCTCACCTGCTGGCTCCAAAACCTGTTTGCTAGCACAGTGAGCTGTTTTAGTTCACTATAGTGTCAGGAAAATTATACTCAGAAAATACAAACTAAACACTTCTTCACTGGCAAGTCAAACTGGCTTTTTCTTGTGATCATGGAAATTGCAGAGTTACTGCAAGGGCAGGTGGGACCAGGGCAGGGAAGGACACGACTGGTCCCTCTCAGTTATTGTGAGCTGCTAATTCAGCAAACAGAAGGTGAAAAACCTCATCTTCACACTTGTCAGGGTTTCCTGATCCTCCTGGGGACTGATAGCCCTCTCTGCATGAACAGCATCATCACTGGCTCTGGATGGCCAAGGCAGAGTGTCTTGAGCAAGCCAGATCCTGAGARTTTAGGATCCTCACAGGGATCCAGAGCAGATTAAACCTGAGCTCATTTCCCAGTTTCCTGCCTTACCGCTGCGGCTGCGTGGTGCTATTCCGTCACCAGATTTGCTTGGCCACTGGGAAGCAGGAAATGCTGAAGCCCTGGTCACATAGACTCTGTAGGTGCTTTGTCTAAAACATGGATTRAAATAAATCAGGGTGACCACATTCTTGAACAGAGGCTACAGCTACTGTCAGCAGCATTCCCTGTCTGCATAGTCTTGTCAGATTCCCCGGTGTAGTGCACCAGGCTGAGGCACAGACAGAAACACCCAGCCCGACTCCCAGCCAGCCAGGTGCCCCCAGCACAGGTCTGCAAGTGCCTCTTTACCCTGAAAGCAGCTCTTCACTCTCTGAGGCCTGGCCACCTCCCCTGGCATGTGTCCTTTGGTGTTTGCAGCACCTTCCATCAGCCTGTCCTTGAGACAGCAGCAATGACAAATTCAGCAGTCCTTCTGCAAACACGAGTCCASAGGAGCATTGCTGGGAGCTCAGTGCTGCTGCCTGAAGGGTGGCATAGGGGTAAGAAAGATTTCTTCTTACAAGGGCAAAAAAACAAACCCAAACCACGAAACCTAACC